AGCATAAGCCAGTCTGCATAACTCGCACTATGCGTGGAATCTCCGGCTAATCAGAAGGGGGGACTTGAATAAAATGTTTTCATCTGTGTTTGCGACAGGAAACGCATAATTAGGCTATGCACGCTCACTCCTCTAGACTTCCGTTAATCAGGAGGAAATTAAGTTTTCTCTTCTCCAGCAGAAGTAAAAATGTCGTCATCACAGTAGCAAGGAAAGGGACACGCCCACGTATAAATCTGAAATTGCAAGAACAAATTCAAACTTGTCGAAAGAGATTCTCCGCTAATAGAAGTAACAAAACGTGGTCACGTCTATATTCCGGTTCGCGGTGACGGAAATTAAAACTCAAACTCATGGTCACTTTTTCAAATCGAGTCAAAATAAAACATATACGTAAAATACACTGACAGCGTGTAACGATTTTACACACTCGATTAATCTCGGGTATGTACTTACGGTATACCTAATACATACACTTTTTCTTATTTTTTACTAACTTTATTTTATTCATATTACTTGGCTAGGAAGTTCTTGATCTATTTGCTTTTACCACACACCACAGTATGTGTATGCATTGTTTCCTATATTGTACAGCAACCCTGATATTTGTTGTTTTTATCCATTTTAGTTTGTTGTTTGATAAAGGGGTTTTACATCTCCCCGAAACGTCATGAAGTAAACCATTGTTTGAAGTCAGAGACGTTTTTTTGTCAAAAATCAATGTTTCTGATGATGCATATTTTTGCGAAAGTTCGACTTCATGCCTTAAATCTCGCCACACTTTTCGTTGCTAGCTGTCGTCTAACGTCACGTCGATTGGCACTCTCTGTGTACATTGTTGTGTCGTTTTACTCTGACATTCTATTAAATTGGCACTTTCGTCTGCACGTGGGTTTTTTCTGTTAGTCTTTCATAGCCGCGAATCAAAGACATCTTGTCCTCTTCAGCATTCACGATTACCTACTAGTAGTTCCTCGTTATGTTGGCATTTCTCCTTGTATATTGTCAACACAGGTCATGGGTATTTGTTGTTTTGCTGGTAATTACGTAATATATCACGTTTGAGCTTCAAACCAACAATTCAAATGGTTTTAATTGTCGTTTTCGTTATCACTTCGGATTCGGTTCTATATATTGACATCTTTCCCGCTCGTTCAACTATTCAGCAATAGCATTTTTTAAATGATGCATTAATTTTGCTCTAAAGATGCATAAACCAATAAAAAGGATATTACATCAATGCAATGCCGGGAGATCACCGAATTTCATATGTCAAACTCAGAGGTGTTATTGGTGGTCAGTTGCCCAAATAATTCGCACAGTTTAATTAATTGTTTCAACCAAATTAGGTATGTGGCCATAGCAACCCGCGTTGTTAACTCGTGCTATGAGAGATATCATTGATCAACCTTAAAATTATTACACGCCAATATCGCTATGCTTCATTATAAAATACGTCGAATCAGAATGCAAGCCAATCCCATCATGCCTCATTCGCTTCTTCTGTGTGGTTGCATTAATCATTTGTCATTGTCCGTTTCTATGACATGTGGGTGTATCAATTGCTGTTTTCTCCAAATTATTTCAGACATTCAAGTTCATCGTATAATCTTATTTCAATGCGTTGTAAACATTTATATGAAAAACATGAAAATATTGATTGCCTCTTTCATGGAAACCAGGTGTGCAATTCTTAACTACTCATCCGTACGTACGTGTGCATGTGATAATACATGGTCACCATAGTAACATCAGTACTATTCAATATGAATAATTGATTAGTTAATGCATCTTGCATTATCGCATTCGTTTGTGCTAAAATCAAGAAAAACTGTAATTCCGCGGACGAAATAAACAGGCCATTTCAAACGAAAACACAGCAACTACTAATAAACATACGGGTTTGCAGCTCGAGCATATGGTATGGAAAAACACGTATATGGGTAATTTGTAAACGACCCGTACACGCAAGGTCGTGTTCGTATGCTCGTGCATTAGCATCTAACACTGCAAAGTCATCGCCTGCATGCAGTATCAATCGACCAATGAGAAAACGACGCGGTCTTACAATTACTAATACAGTCGTATTCCAACAAATATATGCGATACATACAGGTATGTTTCTATTTTATCGTAGTTATATATATAAAATAATATAATAGAATAGTATATAGTATAATATAAAATACATATATGATACGATGACAAGAAACATAATCACGTTTTGTTATCGCAAATAGAAGCAAATAAGCAACAAAAGCGGCGTTATGTGGGTATGTGCAGTTGATGTTTACATAATCTATGTACACATATGTAGAATTTTTAACAATAATGTCGATTGCGTGAAATGTAAACAAATCAGTGTTTTAAAATACACTACCTAGAAGGATTACAAGACTGCTGCATGAACTTGCCAATTTCAAAAAGTGTGGATACATTTCCTCCTTCAGAACAAATTTGCCGACAATGTAGCGTACTACTGAATTCAACTATATAACTGAGATTGTGAATTCTTATCAGTCCTGTCGGTGCTATTCAGTAGTATGCTATATTATCCCCAACCTATTGTCTTCTTGGAAAAAAAAGGTTTCAAAGTACCCAGTTCAAGTTGAAGTCTCGCATTACTTGTCTGTAGAGATACAGCGTCACTCATCTCATTAAGCAGGATGACTCGTCTCATCACACAGGGTCCTTCGTCTCATTATACAGGATCACTTTTCTCATTATACAGGATTACCTTTCACATTATACAGGATCACTCGCCACATTATACTGAATCACTCATCTCACTACACAGTGCCACATATCTCATTATATGAGGTCACTCGTCTTAATATATATGGGTTGTCTCAATTCACAGTTGGTTGTAGATGTGTGTAGAATGACTCCATAATTCTGATTTTATTCCAATGTTTTAAATGGTGATATAGTAGTCTCATTCCAGCTCATGTATCCAAAAGTAATCATGTGAACCACCTTGCGTGTTGAGCATACGATATAAAATTCGAATACTGAATGGAGTTCGTACCAGCAATTGTAGTGTATTTATACATGACGACATTAATAAAAACAAAACAATCAATCACCTGACTTGAATACTCCTTTATCTGAATTCACATATTAGTTAACATAGTTCACAATCACAGACTGCTACCATATAGTATATTTCCCATATAGAAGCATATTTTATAGAATAGATTGTTATGTACATACGACATTCAGTTCCAATCACTATGTTTATTCCTCATTTTTTTTCTTTTTAGCAAATCCCTTTGCAAATCACAATTTATATCGCGGTAAAGGCCTGTAACTACTCCTACATCCGGGTGTTATATTTTGTTCACAAATACTGCAATGCTTTATACAAGAGAGGATACCATAGACCACATTTGGTGTGATGCACTAATTAGGGTCAACGCGAATATATCATTCAATAATTTTGATTTTGGTAGAGTTAACAGTCAAGATTACTGTTCATTAAAATGTTGTGACAATAAGCAAAACATCGATCACACCGTTTGGTGTGTAAATTTTCTCTTTAGAGTAAACGACCATGTTTCAAAGATTCTTTGAATGAATTTCAACCGCACTGAAGTCTACAATTAGATGTCATCGCGAAGAATATCGCATTATTATTGGTCCAGTTAAACCAGATGATGGTAAACATGTGAACAGATTACGTCTGCATCTGGTGACCAGACCTGCTGAACAATGGTTAACACTGCTAGCGGATGTAACAATATTGTTGTCATATTTATCAAGGTTTTCCTATTCTACTCAGAGCATCATTGCTTTTATTCTTTGATTTATTCATGTTTTTTCCAAAACATTGTTTTCATACTTTCTGTGTAGTAGTGTCCGTATTTTATCATAACTGTGTATACATTATTAGTTAATTATTGTTTTATCAATCCATTATATTCATTTCTCACGTGTTTGTGGTTTACCATAATGTATTAGTCTTTATTCTTGTTGTAATAAAGGCCTTCACTTTAACAGTTCCATCACACCACTTTGTGCCGCGGTGTGTACAGTGTTGGCAACGCATCGCGGCTTATTGCTTTGAAGTTCTCGTGGTGTTATTCTAGAGAAAATAATCACGTTTCTTAACTTAACGGGTAGGATGGTTGACCTAGGGCTTACAAAAAACTCCTCTGGATTTTTGTGTTCACATTTACAAGCTAGCGGGAAGAAAATCTGCGTTTGTTTGTTTGTTTGAAAAATGCCGCGCACTACAAGTTATGATTCTAATACCTCCCCTAACTCGCAATAGTTCACTGAATACTGACGTCATCACCTAATAAATGGAGACATTCGACCCCATAGAAATGCATTATCTTCATTTGAGGGTACATGTACTGGGTATTATGTGCTATCACCAAATATTGTATGTAAGAATAGAAAATAGACAGCAACTGCTCATGCGTTTTTTATTGTGTCTTTTTCTTACTTTATTGCGCGATTCCTTTATTTATTTGTTCGTTTGTTTGTTTGTGTATTTGTTTATTTACTTATTTGTTTGTTTGTTTGTAACTTCCACGGGGCTATCATTCAATACTAATCTTCTCATTCCTGCTGTGACAAGAGACAATTTTAAGAGAATTGGCATATTCTACGTCATTTCCGTCCGTGTCGTGATGTCGCTTCGACAGATTGTGATCGTTAGTGATATCCAATATCATTGCAGCGATTGAACCCTGATAAGTTCCATAATGATAGAACGATCAGAAAATTGAACAGCACTATAAGGGTTTCTTTACAAATTGAAACCAATCTGCATTGGTATCATCGCCCGTTGACTTGTACATTCGGACACTTCTCATTTATCTGAAGTGACATTCGTTCTGCAAATTGATTTCCTTTCTAACTGCTAAATATTTCTCATTAATTTACTCTTCCTGTTTGTCTCTTAACCGCACATATCACCTCAAAATCGTCTCCTATTTAAGTTTCCTGTCTCACGTATACTTGTGGTTATTTTGTAGATATCACCGCACAGCATGGACGACTTAGTATTGAACTCGCTCTATCTAGAGCTTTGGCAGTATAACTATACGAGTAACTACTTGAATGGAACGGATCCACCAAATATGAAGAACTCCTGTATGTACGAAACAGCGACGGAGTCCACTTTCTTGTGTCTCTTGCTGCTTCTGGGCTACTTCGGCAACGCAACTTTTTTATTCGTTGTGATTCGTATTAAAACCATGCGAACACTTCCTAACTTGTATTTCGTCAACCTAGCCTTAGCTGATTTCGTGGTCTTGTTTGTTTATATGATTCAAGTTATTATACGCACATTCGACACAACGATTTCTGAAGAGGGGTATGTTGCCATCGCGACCATTACCATGTTTATAATGGTAACCGGGCTGTGTGCCTCATTTATTTCAGTCGGTGTCATCAGTCTTGAAAGATACCTTGCTATCTGCCATCCCTACAAAGCCGTGAAATTAAGACAGAAAACTAGAGTGCTTGTTTTGATGGTCCTAAGCTGGGTCGCAGGATTCGTCCCTGGCATGTTCGCTGCCTTGGCAATGATTCCAGGATTATTCGATGATGTATACACAGAAGAGTTGATGGTAACATCTAGCGTTCTCTTGAGTCTTGTTGCTGTTATTTCAATCATCTTGGTCGTCATCTTCTACCTACTCATCGCCAAGGAGATGGGTCAGCTGCAACGCACGAGGGCGCTGCAGTATGATGGGTTTGTTAAAGAAGAAAAGCGTGTGGTCACTTTATGTATGTGTATCGCAGTATTGTTCTTTGTCTGCATCTCGCCCAAAGTTGCCGCACTCGTATTAAGAAGTATTCCAAGCTTGAGACTGAGTCCGTCTGTAACATGCGTGGTGAATGTCTCCTGGGTCCTAATTCTATTTCACTTTTGTTTGAATCCAATCCTCTACAACGCGGGTAGCCATAACCACAGACAAGCCTTCATAGAAGCGTTTACCGGCCGCTCGGAACGAGCTCGTCGCGCAAGCACCACCACGCGAACCACTGGTAATGGAACTGAATCGCGCCCCCACATCAATATCGAGGAGAATCTAATGTGAAACATAGATTCTGGCAAAAAGTAGTGAATCCCTATCATGTCGGCTTACGTTAAACCAATTCATTACACCGTCTGATAGAACGTTTTATGATCGTTACTTAAAGAATGTTTCCTTGTCATGACTTACTGAGTACAACTTAATAAGTGCATTTACATTTTGCATTTTTTATCATCACTTTGACACGTGTTATATCTGATTGGCCTTATATTATTAAATCTATATCTAATGGCGATTTACAATTTATCAAAATTATAAGAACACTTCTAATTAGAAAATATTGCAACTATACCTGTCTAGATTTGCGAATCTGTAAAAAAAAATCACAAATGTTCAAGTTTGTTATTTCAGTTGTATTACGCGACTATATTTTATATATGTTCTTATGTATATATATCATCAATCTAACGACTAACGTACTTTATATTTTATGTGTAAAACTATTTACATTAACCGTTACACGTATTAATCTCTATATGACAGTATTTATATTTTAAACTATAATTACACAAATCAGTGTAATAAATGAATCACCACGCTGACGCTTGGTGGAAACATAGGGAATGGTCTTTTGTCTATCAGACCAAATAAAGCAGCGACTTTCAACATAGAAGATTTTTTTATGAAATTAAAACCTGTTTCACTTTTTACCAGAGAGAATTAAAGGGTAATTCATATCACGACAATGTAATACGACACAGTTTCAAATAATTACGTTTTACAACTTTTTCACTTTGTATATATATTTCCACGTTTTTGTCATTATCATGAAGATTATAAAAAAAATATTTCGTCCCGTATTAATATAGTATTAATATAGTTAAATGTTTATGAACGTTCTAAAATACGATACAGTTGGATTTTCGTATTTTGTGTGACTCGCGCAGTGACAAAACGTTTGATTCTCTAATTTATTTTTAAGTTTTATGGAAATATCATTACTATTACTATCATTTCAGTAGTTTTAAATGTTTTCGAAGTCATTGTCAAAAATTGAATAACCTATATATCTTTCTTTAAATGTTAATATATTATACTATTATATATTTATAATCCTGTATAATCGGATTAATCAAACAAGTATCTTATTTTATGGGACTAAATCCGTAACAGTATTTAAAATTAAGATGAGTTGACGATATGTTACGTAATGTAATTTTAGTATATTGGTTGTGTATGATTATTATGTGTGATAAAACGCTGAATAAACGTATTTTATTTGTGAAGTGCTGACTTGTGTTTTATTTATTGATTTGTACCAAGTTTTAATATTCCGGAATATTTATATGATTGTATATCCGCTGCACATACGAGTGATTCAATGTAAGCGGTAAAATTAGGTTTTCGCACGTGGTCTTTGGGAATTTTTTTCGGTATTTGTGTGCGTTTTTCTCAAGAAATTTACAGCATTGATTTCTAGAGGGGGGCTACCGTGAACTGAAGTTAGCAGAATATTAATATTTATATTCTAATATTGAAGTTATCAAACAAATATAGCAGTATATATTGTTATGAACGTATTCGACAGGGAAGACACGTATGAAAAAACGTGAGTAAATGACCGTTAAAGTTCCCTAATTTCTTGCATACAATTTGGTGGGCCTTTTAAATTCAATGATGTAAATGTGTTGTGTTTGATGTTATAGATAAATGGGTTCTGTCAATAAAGTTGGGGAGAGATTGACCTATGGAATGTATTTTTTTGCGCACATTCATGTTCATGTCTACAGTTTGAGCTGACCTAATTCGATGGACAGGCAGGTAGTGTTGGTACAGTATAGTTTGTGTGTTTACCCGCTAAATGTCTTTGATTATAGATACAAGTGTGGATTTCGTTTCTTTTCATTGTCTACATTCACATCTATCCGATTCTCAGCGGCATTTGACGACTTTCTCCTAGCTAATTATTTTATTTGTAATTATAATATGTTAATGATCTCACGAATTGAATTCCAAGTTTGTGTTTGCATACTACGATTAAAAAGCTGCCCCAATCCTGGTAGAAAAAGATAATAAAACTCTCAATTTACTATTTAATTGTAAACAAGAAACATAGCTATAGGTTACCAGCCTTTTTACTGTCATCGCAAACTTTATGATAAAATGTAATTTTTTTATAAAATGTAAATATCGTTTTGTGATTCCGAAATATAACAATATTAGGACATCATTGAATACTAGTAACTACAGCGACAAATGGTGTCGAAAACGCTTGGCGTATCATGTAACGCCACGAACGACGGAGGTATTTTTGGGGGGGCGATTGTCAGTGTTTGTCGCCACTTTGTGACGCTTTAGTTATAGGTGACATTGCTTGAGATAAACACATGCAAGCATAGCAAAATGACTGCACAACGAAACATAATGGTAATAGTGCAAAGTAACAATACTATGAATAGTGCAATATGTTGGCATTTTTATTTTGTCATTTAATTAAAACAGCTTCTGTAAGAATGAAAAACAAATAATCATGGTCCTGTGTGCACTTGTTTGCACCTTACCTGCCAATGACTATGCATATATACTACATATATAGTAGTTTGAAGTAATCGCGAACCTGATATCGCGGGCATTTTTCTAGCGGGACGTCAAATTTGTTTCACAATGAACACGTCACTCCTGTATCATTAAAGGATTGTGTGCTCTACAAAATGGTATTGTCATTCTCGGTGTACCAATTTCGACAATTTTTGTATCATACTGTACCTATATAACTTTAAATTTATCAGCAGTGTTCTGAACCGCTCGTCTAAGATGTAACAAGTTGATTTATCTGCACTACCTATGCACGAAATTGAGATACCAGTCAGTATGTAAACAGCACGCAGTGAATTTTATGAAGGCGTGATTTGTTTATGTTTTTTTTTTTGTTTTTTTGTTTTTTGATAAAGTTTTATTCGGTAACTTCCTAAAAAGAATCACATTGCAATATGCAGTAACACAGTTGCACATAAAATACATTACAAATACTAAAAATTGCGACGTTGTAATGTGATGGATAATGATCCAATTGCTGCAATGGAATACTGGGAGATATGATTTGATATCATTCATCTTTATGGTATAAACGTGAATATACATAATTGCTATCAAAAGCAGATATTTATATAACTTTGATAGTGAGATGTCATCAAATATAATTTCACCAATTGTTTGCTGTCTTCACAATCTCATACTTTTCTCAAAAAAATGAGTCCAAAAACGTTTAAGATATACACAATAAAAACAAATGCTGAAGGGTTTCAGTTTCAATCAATTCCATTCCGTTTCTTTTTAAATCATAGAATGTGTAAAAAAAAAATAAGATGGATCAGTTTTAACTGGAATTCTCGAGTTTTATCATCTGTAACCACTATGAATGACAGTACTATACGTAGTTTTCCAGTCCTTTGAAAATTAGAATTCTCTTTTTTTGTACCCTTCGCTTTTTGCTCTTCAGGGGTTACACAATTGAATGATTGATTTAGTCATTTTTTTTTTGGGGGGGGGGTATTTTTTGCTGGCTTGATGTAGTTACAATTAAAATAACAATCCTCCAAATCTGATTTCTCTGGAGATTCATTGAATTCCAGTGACCGATATGACCGTGGTAAACCCTTTATGACAGCAATAATACATCAATGAGATCAAGATGCTGTCGTTGAAGATTTTCCCATTCAATAAGATGTCCATTTTTATACAAGTCATTAATACATAAACTTTGTAATCAATCTCTTAAGAAAGACAGACCTTCCATCAATCAGTATATACTGCTTATGCCTGTCATTTGATTACTTATGTCAATTGCATCAGTTGGTTAATTAAAAGAGAACCAAACCTTCAATGATTTCATGTAATATTGTGGAATAATTTCATCAGAAAGCTCTGGAAGAAAATTACACTTAAATAACTGCTTCCAAATTGATTAGGTCGTTCAGCTAAGAAGATTTTCCAAAGATGCTTATATTCCTTGTCTAAATATCGTTTAATATACGTCACTCTGAATATTTTATGTGTGGTGAAAATATCTGGGCCCTCAGTTGATCATTATCTGTTTTGCAATTTGATTACGTCTATTCCATAAAGGCATGGGCTATTTTAAATAAAACATTTACAAATGTGTTATAAATTTTAAATTACAACATAAGCAATCAGAACGTTAATGAATGTATATTGCAGTAAATCGACTAATCAGTTTGGATTTGAATGAAACGAGGGTCCTAATCTTGTATAAATATTTTATAAATTTCATAAATTATGCATCCCTTATCAACTAGTGTTACTTTACACTCACTGTAATCACTATGGACTACTACGCT